TTCGCAGATTATATAGTTGATTTTTGCATTCAGACCTAATCTTAAACGGTTGACATGAAAATAAGATTAGATATTTTTATGCAAAACATCAACAAGTCTTTCACTCCGTTTCAGTCCAGTTTACTGGTTTGTATTACAGATATTCAGAAGGTGCGGCTGTGGACATTCTTTTTGGTTTCACATTTGTAGATATATTTCTAGACCACTTAGAGAAAACCAGAATAAGTGATGTAGATGATAATCCCATCATATGTGAGAGTAAAGTTCACACAGAGGACCCATTCAAATCATTCAGTTCACTTCATTCAAACGTGAAGTTAACATGTGAACATGAAACGTTAAATGAAATAAATTTCTAGGATTCTAGTATTAAAGGAAACGAAGATGGTTCGACAATACACAGAATTTAGTATAAGCCTACTTCAACCGGTAAATTAGTGCCATTTAATAGTTTCTGTCACATAGCTTATAAAAGAAGTCTAACCAAGAGTGTACTTTTAAGGATGACCAGATCATGTTCGGAGGAAGTCTTCGAAAGTGAACTGAATAATACACGGAAGACTTTGTTAGATAATGCCTAACCCATAAAAGTAATTAATAAACAGTTTAAACCTGAAAGAGAGAAATTGAATGATACAACTTCACCGAAAAAGAATGTGTTCATTAGACTACTATTCGAAATGGATGAAGGGAATCCATAAAATAACAGCTGATTGAATACACGCATAGCAGTAACCGATCCAGCTGCAAAATTAACAGTCGTCTATGACACGAAGAACATGATCAAGGAAACTAATTTAGATGTAAGACCGCCTCATTTTACTTCTAAGTGTATTTACTTATTTACCTGTACTTACAGTACCATGTATTTGGAAAGAGTGGACATTGTCCTTACTAAATGAATCTCTGAACATGTACCGAATCACCTTTTATTGAGAAGTGGAAAGCAATAAATAAAACAGTGCTGCGGGTCAGCATATCCTAATTATAGGTTATGCAATCGACTCAAACATGGCTTTCGAGGCAATCAACTGACAAAAACTGGTATATAAGCGGCAATAATCTGTCAAACGAAACCAAACTTATGCACAAAAAGGGGTTTGTAGTTCACCTAGCATCATCTTATCCCTCTCTTTCGTCGAATTTCCTACCACATTAAGCTGTAATCTTAGGTCTGGACCAATGTCACATCATAATGTGATCTTTTTGCCTTCTGATAAATTTTATATTCTGATTTGTTATGTCACTTGTTTCGCGTATAAGATAATTAGGTCATGGACTTTATCCTTCGTCTTTGTATTGATGTCTAATGTAAAAGATGTATTTGGTGTTAATTTCGTAATTGAAATGTATCGAATGACTTATGCTGGATATCGTTAGTTTACTGTGCAAAATTTTAAACTTAATGCGTACATAGACTGTTTACAGAACACTAAATGAGTTTGACTGGAACAAGCTGGCTGGCCTCAGGAAGGACAAATCATATGCCGACCAAATTGTAACGCTACGCATCATCATAGAACAGAGTATAGAATGGCAGTCAACTCTCTCTACCTCGACTTCATCGACTTTGGAAAGGCCTTTGACAGTGTCCATCGAGAAGTAATTTGGCAGTTGCTTGAACGCTACGGAGTATCAAGGACCTTTATCAACCTCATTCAACAGCTATATCAAGAAGCCACATGCAGAGTGATTCACAATGGAAAGATCAATGATGCCTTTGAAGTGAAGACAGGAGTAAAACAAGGCTGTCTACTATCACACCCTTTATATTCCTGATTGTGGTCAACTAGACTGGACTGGATCATGCAGCAAACTGTGAGGATCGAGAAGAGGGGCATAGGCTGTTTGACTGATGAGAAGATCCTAGAAGATTTGTATTTCGCCGATGACTTGTGTCTAGTGTCATACAAACTCGAATATATACAGGCGAAAACTAAGAAGTTGACAGAAGAGGGAGGGTAGCGAGAGAAGATGGGACTTCAAGTGAACGTAGAGAAGACGGAGGTGATGAAGATAGCTAACCAACAACAGCATCAGCCACAAGCACCAATCACCACTAACGGGAGAAATCTAAAGGAAGTAATCTCTCTCACCTACACCCACCGAGACACCATCGTTTCAGCTACAGGTGGCAGACCAGTTTTATACTCTGTCAATCCAAGACGAGTTTCTACACAATGTTTTGCCACATCTCCTTATTACGTATTTGTAGAAAATTTGAAAGGAATTTCGAATTCAATAGGCATCATGAAAAATAGTGATTTCGTTCATGAAATATAGCCATTCTATTCTTGTGTGCCCTTTACTCACTCTACCGTATGCTCGACAGTGCTATAAGATATCCACAAATACGTAAATTTATTTCAGTAAAACATCTCGATTTCCACTACCGGAAAAATGAAAAGGTAATAATTATCGGTAAAGTAAACACATTGATAGCAGGTGGATTATAGCAATTGGCGTGCGGGTGATCAGCCTGAAGCTGTGACAAAAGAATTGAAACCAAGATTATGACCCATAATTTTGTCTGTGTGTCATCTAAACTACTCATATGAATCTATACCTTCATCATCGTCATCTTTATGATAATAGCTGCTCAAAAAATGTTGCTTCTTCCCTAATCGGATCGAACTACTTCTGATGGAAACCCATAGAATAGATTATGCATAAAATATGCAGGCCTGAAACTGTGAGTACGACAGTATACGTGAGAACACATAATCGAAATATCCTTATAATCAGTAAAAACAGATTTGGTGACAAGAATCGCATTATAAAAGAGATTAGTAACCAAAACCTTTGTCGCCATTTTCAGAGAAATTCGTTATCCTTTACAGATCAAGTCTATGGCAGCATAGTTAAGTGTGACTAGTGTTTAAAGGTTCCGGATGTTCACTGTTCTAGGTATCAAATTACAAACACGCAACTTTAAGCTTAAAATTTTAATTTTGTAAACCTTTACAGTTCTAATCATCAAGAACGGCCGTGAAACTTGGTAAAACTAATCCGATTTCTAAGCACTTTCATCTACCACTGATCAAAGTAGTAGAATATTGCTCATATGGTAGTCATTTTCTCTTACAGTAGGACAAAAGACTCTAAATAATAGGTGTATTAACCAACCATCTTTGGAAACGACCTCAGCATACTTGAATGAGGAAATCCTACAGATATAGCTAACAAAAATTACATATGGACTAGACTGAAAACTCCGAAATCGAAAAGCATCATTTAAACGCATAATCGCGGGGATTATTTAACATTTTGGTGCATTATTCACCTGTTGGTGTACCAGTGAAACCTATTGCTGAACAAAGGTACACAAATATGAGTTTCAGTGTTCAAACTTACTTCAGAAAATCGTACGATATGCTTTAAGACCGGCTATGTCCTTATAGGTAGCCCTAAATCCCCGAAGTCCTCTATAATAAATCATTATGCTTCGACGTTTCAGGAACGGGAACACCACCTAAATTTCAAACATCTTGGTAAACTACCTAGTTTCAATTTACCACATAGCTTCAGATTTCAATAAAAATCCTTGAAGCGTATGTCTAAGCTTTGAAGTACACAACTATTAATTGGATGTAGTAATGCTATAGTCATTCCCACATATATGAACCTTACTCCAATCTACACTAATTCCAATAAGCCATTTATCGGTATTTTTGTTGCTTTGCGTTCTATTCCTTGACACAAACATATCGAACTGCATTGGTTTTATGCAGTTGAGGTGCATAATTGAAAAACGATTAAGGTTTTAAAGAGAAAAATATATAATTCGGCAAAGGAAGTTTGCTTCGTCAATGATATCATTTTCCACAGCTGTACGATCGTCTACATGTATATCACAATCATATAATAGTCTGTTACTAAATAATAGGGTGTAGTTGCGTCATAAGGTCAGCTAGTGCTTAAAACTGAAATTAAGAATCACAAGCCGTTGTGTAATAATCTTTGGGACAATAGAAATAATGAGAAAGGCGAGCAGTTTGACAAGGTGAACACTGTTGGTAGACGTGAGATGCCCTGCTTGAGTCCCCACTTGAAAAATATCAACAAGGTGATAACAGTAACCCTACTAATTATAATGAAATTGAAAACTTTGAGAAAGTGTTAAGACCACAGTAAGATAAGAGATTAAACATAGTTCTTCTGCATGTAAAGATCAGGCATGAATTGGTGAATTACCAGTGCTTCTGTACTCACAACTGTCAAAACTGTCCTTGTCCCTTTGAACGATTCCCTTTAACTGTGTAAATGACACGGAAGGAGGACTTTGGTGGAACTATATGTCTAGAGCTGACCAAATGTTCAAGAATCTAATTGTTAACTGATATACGCTCTCCTCCTGACAACTATGCAGAATAGGGCTCAGAGACACGCTTGGAAAGTGTACACTTCCTGGGGTCTAGTTAAATTTAAATTATTAAATTCTTCCGTTTTAATAATGCGGTATTTGCATTTCCTCAGTCCCCCTTATCCATTAATAAGTCCATGTTACATGGTTGTCAGAATTCAGTCGGAATACAGATCTGAAACGATTCAACCCTAAGACAGATTATTTCTGTCCCAAATACATGCAATCAACTATTGATATTACACTGAATTGAGAATTACTACTTATTTGATTACTATATACATGTGAGTTGTTGAAGTAAAACAATGTAACCTTCCATGGAACAGGGGAAGATGTATTGGGCTTGTGTAATGAGTGAGTTTGCAATGAATATCTACCAATAATTATTCATCAGTCAATTACTTAATTCCTTAGTTCTCTCGAAACAATACCCCTGGATTTGTCACACAGAGATTCCGACGCAGATGGGCAGCGATTAGGATCCATTCCTTGGAGTTAGCACAAACATCCCAACTTTAACAGACACATTCCACAGACAAATTAAAAAAGGAATCAATACAATGCTGAATAGATTATCCTACTTTTGTAATAAATCGGGAGATTATATAAATATCATAAATGAACTGGCACAACATACTACTGAAAAACTTGTGTAGTTAGATATCCACTCATGTTTATATTGAAGACTTCACCATCTAGTTCACAATGATCTAATCACTGAACAGCATCTCCTATAGTTTGATGTGCTACTGGGCAGCTATGTATCCCGAAGAGTTCAGATCCACTGAATTTGACTTGTTGACTTGCAAGACCATTATACCTTGAACAGGATGATAAACTTGTAAATGGTACTGCACGAGCCATCCAAACACGATTGTTGGCATCACTGGCTAAAAATTTAAATGCAGCCAGGTTAATCATTTTATACCAAATAATCTGCTCTTATTTAAGTCAAAAGTTGATGGGTAATCTTCTGATAACCTCCAACTGTGTATATCAATTTACGTGTAGCTGCTGAAGCAGATACACTGAAGGAGTAGGAAGAAGGCAGTGTCTCTGACTTTATGAATACATTCCGAACAGCCTACAACTGAGGTGAAGTAACACTTCAAACAGTGTAATCATTCGGTATTTGATGAAAACTGGACATGGAACAGATATCTTCAATTCCTTCAACATCATAAACAAACAACCAAACAAACGACTTCCATTTCATTGAAGTTTGCTGAGGCTATAGTTAATGAACACTTCAAACCCAATTTCTATGTTCAAAAAGAAGCTGCAGTCAACCTCTACCTATGCTTTGGTAACGGTTCTTCACTGCTATTGGATTACATAGTCCTGCTGAGGAGTCCCACACTAGGACCAAACACCTGTCCAGTGCTACCAGGTTTCCTTTGTTCCTCCAACTGATGTCAGTCTACGATGAATAACAACTTGAAAAATAGTCCTCCATCAGGTTTAGATCTTCACCCCTTCACTCTTATTTATTCGCATCACCTTCTCATTATATCGATTGTTTTCAACTAACTGAGCTAGCTTAACTCACAATATTTTGCCTATTCACCGTATGACGTACTTACGTAATCTTATGGTATTACGTTCCCCAATATTTAGACTGATAAAATTGTTGTTATTTTGGGGTAGTATTCAACATGGAATGACATCAGTTGAAGAAATACTGGAAACTTAGGAGCACTGGACATCTGTTTTTTTTCCTAGTATGGGACTCCGCTGCAGCACCAGTAGGAAGAGAAGCGAATGCCAACTGAAGATCTTGGATGATAGCTGAGCTATATCGCGAATCGATAGAAGTTGGAAACTATGAAGCATCGAACTCAACCCGACGCATCAGTTGAATGGTTAACACGCCCATTGTGAAACATGGAGTTTCTGGGTTCTATCCGTAGCCGGGTGCTCACCGCTGAGAAGTCCCGCATTAAAACTAAACAGTTGTTCACTACTGCCAGGTTTTCGGTAGTCCTCCAACTAATGCCAGTCTATGATGAATATTACCTCGAAACATACTGTCGTTATTTCATTAAAGAAACTTCCACTGGGTTATTGATATAATCATAACCATGTTATAACTCGACTTGAATTTGCCGTTATGACTGATCTTTACTCAATAACTAATTCTGTCCGTTTCAACCACTGAAAAATACTCTTTTCTCTTTTCAATGAACTACGGTATATTCGGAAATATATAGTGAAAAGGATAGAACAATTCCATAGTAATTCCTGGTCAAAGGTAAGTTAAAAATGCATCACAAAGGAAAGCCACATAATGAGGAAATAGACAAAGTGATTACAGAATAAAGATAAACATATTTACGTTATATGTGGGTTATTAAAAGTGATCGATAATTCTCATAAGTGGAAAATTCTTTGCAGCCAATCATTGAATCATATTGTTCTGTCACAAAGTTATTCGTTACTTCAGTGTGTGTATATCAGTTTACTCACCGCTGTAGAGTCGAGTATATCGGCTGTACCATGCGTCAGATTATGCAATGAGCTCACGAACATTGTCCAAATTGACAGACAAAAAGAAAATGGACATTCATCCTTCATTCTTCCAAATTCTGTACCAGTTGTGACCAAGTCACTTGAGAGGAGTGAGGATAAGACATCTGTTCATTGAAGAAACATTAGCACACCAACCATCATTATACCTTCAAAAGAAGTATGCAAAACCTCCTTCTTTATCATCATTATTTATTATATTATTACTTCTCCCTTGGGTTTCTACTGAAACATGGAGATTCAGTGGCACGTCTCTATTCCACTCTCTTATCTGCACTCTTTCCAACCTCACTACACGACTAACCACAAGCTCCCATCTCCTCCACACACATTATCCTCCATGTCACACTCAGTTGGGACAACCAACTCATCGTCTCCCATCTCGGTTCCACTTGAGTGCCTGGCTCATGATGTCTCCCAATCAGCTCCTCACTGTATGCCCAATCCATCTCCACTTCCTTCTCCTGCATATTTGTTGAGTGATAGGTTGTTGGTTGTTGGTTCGTTGTGGAGTCAGTCAGAGTGAGTTTGTTGTTGCTTATTCTCATTATTATGTTGTCGATGTGATGTTCAGTGTCAGTATGAAGTGAGTGTAGGCAGGTGTTGATGTGATGAATGTGTGTAGTTTGTTGTGAGTGGTTTTCGTGAGGTGCCAAGTCTGTCAAGCATGACGTAGAAGGACTGACTGAGTGAGTGAGTGACTTGGTTGGATTGGTGTTGAGAATCGTGATGTTGTTGACACTTTATGCTGATTGTATTGTATTGTAGTAGAGTGGAGTGGAGTGGAGTATATGTGCACACTGGTTTCAGGTTGACGAATGCATGTCGTGCTGTCTCTGTGATGCTGGTTGCTTTGACATGCTCATGTGTGGGTGTGCTGCTGCCTGTAGTTGAAACGATGGTGTCTAGGTGGGTGTAGGTGAGAGAGACTACTTCCTTTAAGTTTCTCCTGTTCGTGGTGATTGGTGCCTGTTGTTCATGCTGTTGTTGGTTAGGTATCTTCATCACCTCCATCTTCTCTACGTTCATTTGAAGTCCCGTCTTCTCTCGCTACCCTGCCCCTTCTGTCAACTTCTTAGTTTTCGCCTGTATATATTCGAGTTTGTATGATATTAGACACAAGTCATCGGCGAAATACAAATCTTTTTCTGGGATTTTTTCCCTGGTCCAGCGTATGCCCGTCTTCTCGATCCTCACAGTTTGCTGCATGATCCAGTCCAGTCAAGTTGACCACATTTAGAAATATGACGTGTGATAGTAGACAGCCTTGTTTTACTCCTGTCTTCACTTCAAAGGCATCATTGATATTTCCATTGTGAATCACTTGGCATGTGGCTTCTTGATATAGCTGTTGAATGAGGTTGATAAAAGTTTATGGTATTTAGTAACTATTCCTCTGTTTATTTTATAATCATTTTGCTTATTTCTCCATAATATAAATGTCCTTTATGATGCAATTTGTACTGACCTTGACTAGTAATTACTCTGCAATGTTCTACACTTTTTACTATATATTCACGAATGCACAAGTAAAAGAATGATTTCATTGAAAAGAAAACGTTTTCTTCACTGTTTTCCTATGTTTAAATGGCATTGTTTCGATATCTAAATTAAAGTATGTTGAACTTTCATAAGAAATATATATTCTGATATTTCAGATAGTAAACAGATAAGAAGATAAGTGGAACTGTTTTATTCTACTATTATTGTTGCTCTTAACTTCTTCAAATTCATAAAAGGGAATTCATATGTGAAATGATATATAAATCGCATGGTTCCAGCTGGCATTCCTCATATGTCAGTGGATTTTGAACTACGGTGTCAACAAGGTTTCCGTTGGAAATCACCCAGCAAAATCACTAGGTGAACGGAGTTGCTGAAAACTAGTTAAGTTTTTCATACTCTTGAAAAGGAACTTCTCAGCATTTCATCACAAAGCTGATGCAACTTTACAGATAAATATGGCGATCGACATCCTGATCCACTTTATCTCCTGTTTTTAGATTCAATAATCTAGTAGCCTAGTCTCCTAATAAATACAATGAATTTTTGAGATGAGAAAAACTTTTCCGTTACTCAACAACCACTCAGAGGCAGTAAAACCCGTGTTTTAGATAAGCTGTTCCGGTTCAAAAATCTGTATACCTTACCTTTTAAGGTTCATTGAACAAAACGTTATTCTCTCGAAAAACAAAAAAAGATTCATGCTCATATACATCTGAGTTTTTCTAGAGTCACCATCAACATTCTTACAACTTTCAGTATGGAACTAAACGCATCAATCATCCTAATGTACAAATTCGTCTTGTATGCTCAAAAGGTTCATACGCTTTTGCATTTACACATGCTAAGCCTTCATCACACCCTTCATCGTAATACTATGTACTTGTTCAGTCGCTGGTTCACCTTTTTCTCTTTCCACATTTTTGTGGCCACCACCAAAGATACATTGCTCTACGCACCCCCGTGCAACAACACACCTACCTACAGACTATACGAAGACGTATCAATAGTTGGTTGTTACATTTTGGTGTCAGCTCGTTTGTGAATACAATATTTTGATTTACACTCCATGTTACCTCCTGTTATTTACACTCTCCGGGGCAGGTGGATCATCAGCATCGGGTATAATAAGAAAGGTAATAGTGTATCGGAAAGTATACAAAAATTTACAGTCAGATATCATAACTTAACAAGTACATAAAACCATTCAAACCCTCTGATTTGTATTAAAACAAGGAATTTAAGCATCTGATTTGACAATAAAGCATTTTGAAAAATTAATCAACCACATTTCTTTCTTTACTCAACATAACGTCAGAAGATTTTGGTTTTTTCGAGAAGAAAACCTGGAACTTACGTTAGTCACACATCAGACTAAATATCCGATTGAAATAGTCACAATGTTATTTCACTTGCAACAACCAACTAGTGAAGTAAGACCAACTTCTGACTAACTCCTTATCCCCATAACTAATTTCACATAGTTCGTGTGTAGTATTTTCACTACAGCTTAAGCTTACGACAATCAATGGTAATCATTTCATGTAGCCATAAATTTGAACTGAATAAAGAATTATGCCTGATAACTAATAGGCGTTACAATTTTCAATACACATGTAAATGAATGATGATTAGATACCGACATATGAAGTAGTCTCCCTCACATACAACAACATAGACACCATCGTTTCAACTACAGGCAGCAGCACACCCACACATGAGCATGTCAAAGCAACCAGCATCACAGAGACAGCACGACATGCATTCGTCAACCTGAAACCAGTGTGCACATATACTCCACTCCACTCCACTACACTACACTACACTATACTACACTACACTACACTACAATACAATCAGC